TGCAACTTTTCACTTTTGAATTTCACGCCGGCTGTGAGGCCCGAAAATGAAACTAAAAGTCAGATGCCGGCATCTGACTTTTAGTTTTGTTTTCGGGCCGTGTACAGCAGAGGACGCCGCGAGCTCGCAGGGACAAGGTAAGTGACACTTTGTGTATTCCCGAGTCTGGCTCGGGGTTACCGCTCCTGGTATTGAAAATTAACCCCGAGCCAGACTCGGAAATACCACCAGGGAGGTTAAGAAACAGAAAGATCCAGCACAGTGTGCAAGTTGTAGACAAATTTCAGTGATTAATACTGAACTCAAGATATATGCTAAAAATTAAGAATTAACAATTAAGACTTGATATTTAATCCAATGGGCATGCTCCCATAAGACCCTAATGTGCCAACTATCCCTCGAAGTCAAAAAGGCGCTTGACCGTCTTGATTGGTCCTTTCTTGAAGCTTTGTTGATCCAGATTGGTCTGACACATTCATTTATCACAAAAATGTTTGCGCTTTATTCCTGTGTGACTGCGAGAATTAGGGTTAATAGCTTACTATCACAACCTGTTAAAATAAATAATGAGACACGTCAGGGATGCCCCTTCTCACCATTATTATATATCTTGGCAATGGAGCATTTAGCTAATGCTATTAGGATGAACAAAAACATATGGGTATGGAGGTGGGAGATAGGATGCACAAACTCAGTTTATTTGCTGATGACCTGCTCCTCTATATCTCTAACCCCCTTATTGGCCTGCCATCATTGTTAAAAGAAATAGAGCTGTTTGGACTATTAAGTAACTATCGTATAAATGCATAAAAATCTGAATGGATGGATGTTTCGCTTCCTCCACATGAGCGGGAGGCTATTCGGGCTGGCTACCCATTCAGGTGGAGAGATATCTTTAATTTAAATATCTTGGGGTGCATATGGCGCTACGAGAATCAGACGTTTACGAATTGAACTATGTGCAATTATTGGGGGAGATGCAGCATCGATTAAATAGTTGGGGCCCGAAAATGCATTCGTGGATGGGAAGGGTGGAGTTGATTCAAATGGATATCTTCCCAAGATTTATTTATCTATTTCAGACTATTCCGATTAAAATTCCAAGATCTTATTTTAGAACCTTGAGGACAGCTATGATCAAATACATGTGGGGATCTACTTCACCACGATTAAGACACGTATACTAGTAATGCATAGACAGGATGTGGGAGCAGTACTTACACATATGGAGTTGTATTAGTGGTGCAGCAGTTTTAACTCGTATTACAGACTGGTTTTCCTCTACCAGAACCAAATTGTGGATATCTATTGAACAAGCAGTTACTTAATTAATACTGACCTCAATCCCATGGATTCGCCCCAGAAAAGGCTGATCCAGGGGCCTTTACCTCCACTAGTTAAGACACTTATAAAAATTTGGGACAGGACAATAAAACTATATAATATATCAGACTATGAGGGACCTCTCTCCCCTATATTAAGCAATCCAGATTTCCCAGCAGGGTTGGCTTGCCCAGGTTTTTTGAAATGGACCGCTATGGAACCAGCCCTTATTATTCAAGCAATTTCAGATCATGGTATATATCTTTTATCTCTTGTGATCCCAGAATGTTGTTCCACATGAGGACAGTGGTATGCGTACTTTCAGCTTAAACATTTCATTACTGCTCTTTCGAGATTTAAACCTCTTAGGCGAGATATGACTCCCTTTGAGGACTTGTGTATGAACCAAAAGGAAAGCAAACATAAACTATCAAAGATATACCACATTCTCCTAATCCAAGCCTTCTCTGATAGACCGTTTTATGTGAGGGGATGGGAAACAGAATTGGGCTATAGACTATCCCAAGATGATTGGAGACAATCTTTTGTGTTAACGTTTAAATCAAGTATTTCAAGCTATATCCAGGAAAGGAACTTTAAGATATTGACAATATGGTATAGATACCCCACTTTATTACATAAGAATAAGAATCTTTCCAAATATATCCGATCAATGCTGGAGATGTGGAGTAGAGAGAGGTACCATGCTACATGTATGGTGGTCCTGTCAAGAGATTCAACCTTTTTTGGAAATGGTATATAAAATAGAAGCACATTTTATTAAGGGACTGTTTACACCTGAGGTCGAGCTATTGACTATTATACTAGAACTGATTAAGGAAGTCAAGAAAGGCTTATTTAGATTTTTTTTATTTGATGCAAGAACTGTAATAGTTAGATATTGGAGGTCTCAAGATACACCTCAAATTAAAGATTGGGTCAAAGAAATAAATTTTTTAAGAAGGATTGAAGAGTTAGTAGTGCGATCCCAGTACAGGTACTCACAATTTATGGTGAAATGGAAACCATGGATAGAGTCTGACATCACTAATCATTTTAAAAATTCATTAAAGAGGCACTAAGAGCTCAGCTTTTTTTCTTTGAGAGCAGAATCTTGGCAGTCTGCCAGCCCTCTAATAAAACACACAGCTGATGTCTCTGAGCTGTTGGAAACCAACTGAAACAGCACTTCAGAGTCTTTCTTGTGATTTATGAGGAAGTTTGGAAAATAATTACTTCACAACAGAGGCAGCTAGAGATGGTTTGGTTTACTGCTTGTTAAGTGTATGTTAATAGTTAATAGTATAATGCCTATATTAAGGGTATAGGTTCACTTAAATTTTTTTTATTAGTACAGTGGTAGATCTTTTATGTAAGATTTAAAGTTTTTAATGTTGTTTATTAATAAAAGGTGTTAAAACTAGGCTTGCTCTACGTATATTTTTTAGTTAAACTATTTCCAAAACAAGAGGCAGAATTGAGTGAAATACAGAAATTTATTGACATACACCCATACAATCAATTCAACAGTTGCACAGCATCGGTAGTGCCATTCTTATATTATAAGGATCTAACCAATGTGCAATATGAGCTATCTGTATTTCAGAAGGTGAGGTAGGGTATATAGAAAAAAGCCAAAACTTCTTATTTCATGTCTAACTAAGCTACCTAGATTTGCTCACTACTAGTCTATTATATTCTTTAGACAGGATGTTTTCCAGAGTGTTTAGAGGATTTACAGTTCCTGCATGTTTACATTGTTTTCACAGATATTGTAAGCTACTTGTATACACAATACAGGCGTATCAATACTCAATGCAGTCTTTTTATTCATTTGATATGCAACACCTATTTTTAGACAATCTGTGCTGCATAACCTATTTATCACCTAGCAAATCCTAATACCTCAATGCTTTGCCACCTTACACATCATGTCCCTAATGTGTTAAGAATTTCTGCCACAAAATCCATAATGGAAGACTTCTTGATACCTGTAAATTGGATTTATTCTCTGTATTGGATTTCAATTTTTGAGGGTAACTATTGACTACAACGCGGAAGGAAAATCTGCCAAGGTACTGGACAGGAAAGGGTTTAGAAGAGTGAGTATGTATTTCCCTTATTTCCCTTATCTTTCTATGACAGCATTTCGAAGTTTATCATGGTAGGTCACTATACACAGCCTGATTAAGACAGGGAATACAATACCAAGTACCACAAAGGTCATTACAGCAGCAGATATATTACATGGTCCCTTTTGAAAAGAAATGTCACTACCTAGCTGTACTTGCATGTGCTGTTCATGAAGCTGTGGACAGTTAGCTGTAACCTAGTGAGCCCCAGAATACTTTTGGAACACAGTTAAAAATAATGGACAATGCGAATCAGACCCATTATAGCCCATGCAGTATTTTATGTATTTATTCTAAGAATATTTATATTAGATTGTGAGCTTCTTAAGGTGCCCATACACTGCACGATTCTCGTACGAGAATTGCGGGAAATCCCGTACGAGAATCGTGCAGTGTATGGAAGGCCGTCGAACCAGCAGGCTAGAAAACCCGCCGGGAATCGTACGATTCTCGGCGAGTTAGTGGCCTGCTGGTTTGACAACTGCCGAATGGGCCGGGGTGCGCACGCGCACACAGCCCGTTTGCAGTCATCGTAAGCCTGCCCCTCATTGCAGTCATCGTAAGCCCGCCCCTCATGGGGGCGGGCTTGCGATGATCGAGAGTACGATCTGCCTGTCCAAGATGGGCAGATCGTACGTTTTTTTAATCACTTTACAACCATCACAAGACTAAGGTCTTGCGATGGTTGTACAGTGTATGGCCACCTTAAGGCATGTTTTGTATGTAGTGGTGTTGATTTACTAACGAGGTAGTAAATGTTCAATTAGCAAAATGATTGATAGCAAATAGGGTGAACCTGTGTTCACTTTACATTCCCAATCATGTGACAGAGAAATTAGAAAAAAAAAAACCTACCATATTATTTGTTGACTAAAGGTAGCATCTTATTTTCTAACTGGGCTTTATATTTATCTAAAGCTCTGTTGTTCTTTTTCTTATTAATAATAATATCAATAATAATAACAACAACAATATTTCAATTATCTTTGCTGTGGATTGATAAGTAGTGGAGTAGACTGCACTGTCCCTTCCAACCTATTTCTAAATAATCTTTAGATGTGCATTGTGGTAAAATTTACGTAAACAAGCATACATAACTGTGGCAAAAAATTAATATATGTATAAGTCTTGCAGGACCATGAAATATACAATGTTGGCTTAAATAAACGTAACTAATTAGAAATATATAATTATCATCACATAATAATGTGTTAGAATTTCTTCTATAATTGAGGGTAAAGTACAACTTTGTTCTATCTGCCATTTTTGGCTTAGGAGAGGCTGATTGCTCTGTTCTTTATCAAGAAGACATCATTACAGGAAAACATTTACCCAACAATCATAGTTTTAACTCTAATGTTCTGTCTGCATATGCTTCTAAATATATAAACATATACTTTCAAATATATTTTATATATAATTATATATAAGCCAACTTAATGTTAGGTTTATTGGTCCTTAAAGCATGATTTACAGGCATGGTTGCACCCTTTAACAGTTGTGCCCATGGCCAGAGTGGTGCTTCATTTTGGAGACATGGCTGACCGAGGCGAATCCTCCCTTTTGATTGTGATGCTGGTGTCCTCCATGGTGTCCCCCCGAATGGTGTTTTCCTCCAGTCCTGGAGTGTAGAACAGCTAGGAAAAATAAAGTTGGTAACATTTTAGAATTCAGTGGGAAGCAATGCTGAATTGTTCTAAAAGGCTTCCAAAGCTAATATTCTGTCTTCTAGTATTTGATGGGACAATATTGAAAAAAGCACTCAATAAAATAATGTGGGCCTAAAAACCAAATCTATATTTACACTAACCAGGCCATAATTCAGTTTAAAGTATCCTGGAGTTAGAAACCAAGAAGTATAGAGAGAATGACCCAAGCCAATAAATAAGCTGCTTACAAATTTATGAACACCTATGAGCATAAACAGTATAGCTTTGAGTATGTTTGTTAGATATGTATATTAGAAAAACACAAACAACAGGCAGTTAACCTAAACCTGATTTAATTATATGCAACTTTTGCCCAGACATAGGGTTAATTTAATCTTGTGTGCATTAAATTAGCTTTTGTCCATAATGCATTCTGTCACTTAAAACTCCATAATAATTCATATTGTCTTATAAGGTTACTTACAAACATTAACATGACCATCAGAAGCCAATCTGAAAAATAAATAATGATAATAAACAGGATTACCATCTAAAATTCTTTAACAAGGTCCAGCAAATATTTAAACATAAATAAAATGCTACATTTTAAAATGTGTTACTATTTAACCTCCCTGGCTCAGGGACAAGGTGAGTGTCAGTTTTCTCTGCAGCCCCGAGTCTGGCTCGGGGTTACCGCTCCTAGCATTGAAAATTCACCCCGAGCCAGACTCGGGATTACCGCCAGGGAGGTTAAATATGTTACTAATTACTATGACCTATTTATGTCTTTTTTATTTCTCTTTCCTACCATTTTCAATTGCCTTACACTGGTATGATTTTAAGAAATGTCACACTTACCTGTACTCCTCTCCCTCCAGCATCTTTTTATAAGTGGTGATCTCAATATCCAGAGCCAGTTTGACATTCATCAGTTCCTGGTATTCTCTCATTTGGCGAGCCATGTCCTGCTTGGCCTTCTGTAGAGCAGCCTCCAGCTCAGCCAGCTTATTTTTTGCATCCCTGACAGCAGCTTCACCACGTTCCTCAGCTTCACTGATGGCAGATTCCAGTGCAGCACGCTAGAAGAAAAGAGAAGGGGATACTGTTTCCAAAGTTTATTTCCTATAAAACATTATAAACCTGACTTTACACAGACTGATGAGGTCACCTCTCTGCTCTCTCCTCCTGTCTCTTCCCGTGTCTGCATGCTTTCTGTCAATACTTGTACACTACAGGGCACTTGATTGGCTCTTTGTACTACCCCTCCCTCAAATAAAAACATAACCGCATTCTTTGAAGCTCATGTAGTATATATCTGCCTAAAGCTCAGCTTTAACTAATTGAAAATATACTAAAACACAAGCAAACTGTAACAAAATGACAATATACCAAAAGTGCATTTAACTTTAAATGATATAGCAAGAAAAACGGTTGTTAAAAAGGTTGTTAGACTAATATTCCATACCTGAGATTTGGCACACTCAATTTCTCCTTTAAGTCTCTGAATTGTTCGATTAAGTTCAGCAATCTCGTTTTTACTGTTCTGTAGGTCATTGTTGTTCCTTCCAGCTGCCATTCTCACATCTTCAAACTGAATGCAAAACAGTCAATAATCAGTAACTCAGGCTACTTTCATGGCCACTTTGTGCCAAAAGATAAAGTGCCACTCACCCGTGACTGATACATGGCTTCAGCTTCAGCTCTGCTTCTGTTAGCAATCTCCTCATACTGAGCTCTGACCTCAGCAATCATACTGTCCATGTCCAGATCTCGGCTGTTGTCCATGGAAACTACTACTGAAGTGTCTGAGATCTGAGCCTGGAGCTGAGAAATCTCCTGCAAGTTGCAATAGTTAATAACATATTAGTTTGACATTTTCAGGCTTTTTAAATAAAACATTGGTGATCTTCAAATGACAGTAGTCAAGTTTCAGTTTCCTATATTCAGAGTAGAGAAAGGTCCTTTCTTGCTGATTGCCATGGGGACTGCATCTTACTTCTTACCTTACTAAAGTAAACCTCTGACATTTACGACTTTCCCAGTTATTTGTATTCTGATGCTGTACAAACATGTTCTATTAGGATGCAGTCAAAATTGAATTATACATTTACCACAATTGATATACAAACAGCCCCGCCTTCCTCCCCAGTCCTATGTAGGCGACACCAGTTCTCCGCTGAGTTACAGAAAGGCATAGCTAAATTTCAGGTGTCAAATGAAGCAGAGGCTCCATTTGTGGACAGTGGATGAATAGCTCCCTCTTGTGTAGGTACTCCAGACAAAATTGTACTTTGGATAAGAAAGGAAGGATTACAATCTCAGTCAGCTGTTTGCTGCTTCCTGTGTCTTTGCTGAAGAGTGTTTTCCACACTTTCTGTCTTGGAGGCATGGCAGTAATTAAAAAGATATGAAAACAGTCAGTAGAACAGATGTCTCCATTGGCAGATATCCTTTCTATACCTGATCCAGTCACAATGTCTAAATTTTGGATTTCCCATCACTTTATGCACTAGTCATAACGGTCATTGGGGCAGGAACTGAGAATAATTCTCTCCAACATAGACACAGATAGCAATTGACAGTTAAAAGAGGTTCTACCCCCACCTGATACTAATATGAGCCAAGGGGGATACATTTGTACATAATGATGGTTGCTGAAAAATAAATTAAACCTTAACATTTAAAGTGACATTAAAGGATAATTTTTTTCCCTGTTAATGTCAGCACTTACCTTAAATGATGTCTCTTAATCCGATCTTCCTCTTCTTTCCTGTCCTTTTCCGCCTTCTCTCCAGCGCTGCGGCAGGTGTCCGATCCAGCGCTGATTCTTCTGTCCTTGCTGGCACTTCCAATCCCACAGTGTCTGCATGCAGGTGCATGTGTCCATAGACTTACCTTGCGTCTCTCCTCGTCTCCCGGCCGAAAATGCAAACTACGCATGCACCCGCCCCAAGATGCTTTGCGGCCGCCAGAGCAGTTTCGGATTCTTGGACGGGAGCCCGCGGCAAAGACGGGGGAAGTTTAAACTACTGTTAAAGCTGTTTAAGAAACAAAAACATTTTTTCATATAGCTACTGCTTTCTAGCAGTAGATATATGCAAAAAAAACGGAGGGTTTAGAAACCCTTTAAATAAAACAGGGCCTGTGTTTATAACATCAAATAATGTAAGTGACACATTTCAAAACAAGTTTAAAATATTTTAAAAATGAATATATGTTTATTTTACCGCATCATAAAGAGTCCTCAGGAAGTTGATCTCATCAGTCAGGGAATCGGCCTTTGCCTGCAGCTCAGCTTTGTTCATGAAAGCAGCATCAACATCCTACAATAAAAATGTCAAACAGTCATGATCTCCTTCTGCACAAATGCATGCTTCTATATTATGTATGCTTCTTGTTAATGTATATGCCCAAGATTCTGGAGTGAATAATTATCCCTTACCCTCTTTAGAGATACAAATTCATTCTCTGCTGCTGTTCTTCTGTTTACCTCATCTTCATATCTGCAATTAAATCACATTTGGTAAAATCATGTCCAGCTATGCTGAAAAGTTATTTTGCATAGATTAGATTAGCATATTTTATGTGATAATATGCTAACACAATGAGTGGCTGTCATACACAAACTTTGTAGCAAGTTATTATAGGAAACCAACATAATCCAGGGGAAATTGCTAACAGTCAAAATGGTCATCAATAGTGATGTCTTAATGTAAATTACTATCCAAGTTAGGCTTAGACTACCTGTCTGACAGTGTTGGTACTTATGTATGTGTTTCATAAGTCTGTTGCTAGAATGAGCTAGAATGAGCTACTCATCTATTGAATAATATGTTTAAAAAAAAGATTTTTTTCGTTTAAGCTGTGCGTAATACACATTGACCTAATTGCTTACATTTCATTATTTTCAGACTTGATTATGTTAGTTGATGATGGTGTATTGTTAAGGGTTAATAAACTTCTAGAAGATAGAATAAGCATTCTGGTAACTGTTTGCATTGTTAGACATATATCTTTACTATGTGACATATGGACAGGACTCTCAAATTATGCTACATTGTAAGCTCAAACTAGATTGATGTGGTTAATCATGTAATATGATGTATTCCTTAAGACAATGTATTGAAACTAATATCAATGTGATTATGGGAACTGTAACTATTTATGAATAGTGCTTGGCACATATGACATATTTTCTATGTAGTTTGCTGTATATTGTTCAGTATAGGCTTTTTATCTATTGAATCTACCAAATCATGAAAGATGAGTTCTCCCCTTGGGTGGAGATCCCCATTGGCTGTGGTTCATGTGGCACAGGGACCGATGTGGTGTCATGACCTGGGACCTCTTGGACTCCATATACTCAATCCATCCGGCCCCTAGATCTAGATGTCCCCTTCCGCGGCATAAATCTGCAATCTGTGCTGTGAGAGCCGCCCTACTCCTGTACGCAACCAAGGGAGCGGTCCCTGGGAACGGCTTCCCTTGTTGCCCAGGCAGCGTCGGATGGGGCGTATATGGCGCGTGCTTGCCGGACGCGCGCATGCGCTATGAGGAGTCCATACCGCTGATTGGCGACCTGAAAACCTAGGTCTGGTCGGTCCAGTTCAGCGGTGGGGGCTATTTAAGGGAGAGGGTTTAGCTGGGTTAATGTGGAGAATGCAATGGAGCTGTAACGCGGAAGACAGGTCAGGGATCTCTCCCTGGGTCACTAATGAGGTACTAACCTTTCCCCTACTAGAAGGATAGCCGACTATATACAAGCTCTCATATGATGTACTTTGAGCTGACTGGGGGAGCTCTATTTGGTGGTGAGGGATGGGGCGAATTTGTCTTTGAGTGAATATATCACTTGTCTTCTTTACATACACAAAAGAGACAAATATTGGAGCACTTATTGGGAAGGTATGATGGACAGTATAAGGTGATAAGTGGCCTTATATTACCATCCATGCACCATCCATGCACCATCCATGCACCATTTTATTCACATTAATTTACACACTATCATAAACACCAATGTTATCACACAAACACAGGTGATGATTCACTTTCAGTCATTTGCTTGGACACTAATAATACATATATAACATTAATACAATCTCACACCATTTGAACCAGTACCTAACACACACACCACACTTATGGTGTTCTATATGTTTGGAATGTACTAAGTTTCACCACTATTTTTGATATTTTGGCATTATTGTTTGTCACTGTCACGTTTGATTAAATCATAATATTCCTCTTTCATATATAGAAATCCACCTATACATTTACTCCTTTCACAAACAGCTAGGGAGCTACCAATAGACTCTACCCACTTATATGTACTATATTTTTGAAAGAGCAAACATTTTACAGATCAAACACAGGGGCTTTTAATTGAAGTATTCCTCTATTTGGCTGATTCTAATGAACCAAGGAACAATATGTACACGTTGAATCACTTATCTGGAACGGTAGTCCCCATGTTGAGCTATGTAGGAACAGTGTCCCTAGATTATACAATCTTACAATAAGATCCTTTCCCTAGCGGTTTTGGCTGGGCTTCCACTGTGATTCCCAGGCACTCTTTTCCGTATGGCCCCGAGGTCCCAGGTATGACGAGGGACTGAGAGTGATGGCTAGGTTTTCCTGACCGCACTGTCATCTCGGTCCTCTTAACATCGGTCCTTTCCAGGCACTTAAATGCGTCGGGTGAAGTGCCGGATGTTCCCCTTTGATGGGGGTGTCTATCTATGTTGAGATTTACAATATAATGAATGTTCTAGGAGCTATATACTGTGCAATTCTGCTATGTGCCCTATGTGACCATACATTAAGAGAATAATTCTATGCAAGAAAATCTTTTTATTGCCAGATCAATACATACAATGGTCCCCTGAAGAAGCAACTGGCGAAACCCGTTGGGATGAATCAAGCTAGACATGTATTTGGATACTGTATGAAGGATAGATCCACTATCCTGACTACATAAATCTAAGTGTATGGACTAAAAATGTGTTCACTGGGCATATGCTAACCCAAACATTATGGCTCTCAAGCTGTCTCCTGAGGTTACTAATAAAAGCCTCAAACAAAGGTTCAATCTGGCACCTGGCTGTCCTCTGCTCCTGCAGAAGACCCCATTTGGTCTCCAGCATCTTGTTCTGTTGTTCAAGGAATCTCACCTAAATCAAACAAAACACAATAATTCATAACCTATTTGTTTGCTACATGTAAAAAATCTATCTTAAAAAAACTGCCTTTATTCATTTTTATAATCAGTACTTGAAAATCTGTTATGGCTCAGTAAATCTTCAACTCTATTGCAGGAACTTTGAACAACTATAACAGGGTTATTCACTAAAGGGTGAAGATTTTGGAGAAGGCAGGAGAAGTGAACAATCTAGGAAAAAAATAGCGGATTTGGAAAAATTCTCCAATTCAGCTTACTTTCCAGTTCAGCTATGTTGTCCTAGATTGTTCACTTCTTCTGCCTTCTCCAAACTCTTCACCCTTTAGTGAATAACCCTCTAAATTTCCGAATCACATTTTATCTTAACCCCTTCATGACTGAGCTAGTTTTCAGGTTCTGTTCATAAATGACTGACACACTTTTTGCATTTTTGCTGTGTGATTCTTCCACAACAGTAATATACTTTCTTACTAAATGTACCCACACATATTATTTATAGTTTTTAGAGGACAGATAGGGCTATATAATTATATCACATATGTGTACCTAACCCCTCACTTAGTTTGAATAAAATAAATAAATGAGGAAAAAAACACTTTTTTCACAAGTTTTGATTATTATTTTTTTTTAGTATAAAAATATATTTATATATAATTTTTATTTTCCTAATTTTTCTTTACACTTTATTTAATTTTTTATACTTTGTAAAAAAAAAAATTAAAACATTTTTTTTTCTTGTCAGTTTATATCAAGCAGTCACTATGACTGCTTGATAAATTAAATTTGAGGTGAGTCACTGCTACCTCTCTGCTATTTTCAGCTGTCAAATACAGGATCGCAAATTGCGGTCCTGTATTTGCATGTAACGGCTTCATTCTTTCATTAATGAAAGGAAGAAGCTTTTACAAAAAGCTTAATTATTTAATTAATGAATGCCTCAATACTGAGGCATTCATTAATGTCTGGTAACTGCTGAGAATCAGCTGTTACCAGCATTACAAAGCCTGATATAACTTGTCACGTACAGTGTACGTGGCCAGTCATATAGGCACAAAGTGCCGGGACGTACACTGTACGTCTCCCGTCACGAAGGGGTTAAATGGGCATAGCAAGAATGGTGTTTCTAGCATTTTTCCTAACCCTAATATACTGCAACTATGTTGATTTGCCTTCTCAGATAATCAGTTCAGCAGACAACTCTTATTCAAACTTTAGTATTATTATTAATATCATACAGGATTTATAAAGTGCCAACAGTTTGCACAAAGCTATACAAAATGGAGGGGGGGGGGGTATTGGTAACCAAGGAGCATTATAAATAGTTTAAAATTAAGTGACAACCAACCATTAGGATTAGAGTAAAAAAGTTTTACCTTGTCAATGAAGGAAGCAAACTTATTGTTGAGTCCTTTAATTTGGTCCTTCTCTTCGGTTCTTACTCTTTGAATACTTGGGTCAATCTCCAAATTAAGAGGAGCTAGTAGGCCTTGGTTCACAGTAACAGGGGTGATTCCTCCACATTGTCCTCCAACTCCACGACCAAGCCCAACAATATTGCCAACAGTTTGCACAAAGCTATACAAAATGGAGGGGGGGGGGGTATTGGTAACCAAGGAGCATTATAAATAGTTTAAAATTAAGTGACAACCAACCATTAGGATTAGAGTAAAAAAGTTTTACCTTGTCAATGAAGGAAGCAAACTTATTGTTGAGTCCTTTAATTTGGTCCTTCTCTTCGGTTCTTACTCTTTGAATACTTGGGTCAATCTCCAAATTAAGAGGAGCTAGTAGGCCTTGGTTCACAGTAACAGGGGTGATTCCTCCACATTGTCCTCCAACTCCACGACCAAGCCCAACAATACCAAATCCAGATCCATGTCCACTTTTTCCTGAACAATAACTTCCGACTGACATCTTATGTCCTTTTGATCCAATACTATGGGCACTTGCACTGGTGAAGGAATGTTGTATCTTGTGGCCATGCCCAGCATGCTTAGAAGTGTGTGATAAGATACTGTGTGAAGAATGTTTGGGTAAGGCAACAGAACAGGAGCTGAAATGCTTGTGTCCAGAGGAGGCCATGATGGATTGATGAGACATGATGGATCTTCTCACCAAGAATGTAAGATGCAGTGCTTTTGGAGCTTTGAGATCCTAAGGCTGTGTCTATGAGCAGATGCCTGGTCCTTTTTATACCTGAAGTGGGTGTAGTCATAAAATCATAGGCTGTTATTATATCTTATGATTCCAGCTAGGTAGCATCAGATCCTCCTTGTTTCATATGAAATAAAACAGTCATAGTGTATGTTATAGCATTCCATTTCTGCTAATATAAAGACATCAGTAGAAGCAATGAGCAATCTCAAAACAAACATGAGTCTGAGTCTAGGTTCAAACTTTTCAGCTGAAGCTTGTTACATTACCGTATGCTTGTTAATACGTGTTTTTTTTTAAATTAAAATGAGTTGCCTAAAGTTAATGGGCTGGCAATGCACCTCAACATGGCAGAAATGGGGCATGTGCCTCATGTGGCAGCTCACTGCACTGCAACTCACATTATTGCATTGCTGTAAGTTGTGCTGTGCTGCAACACACGTCCGTTGGCAAAGTGCATTGGGATGTCATTCAGAATGAATGGCACCAAACTGTACAAACACAAGTAATGTTCTATGCACCATAAACCATGAATCATGCATTAATGAGCCTGGGAGACCCCTCCAGATATTGGTGATGGCTTTCTAATACATACTACATATTATTGTCAGAACTATTTGGGGCTAAAAGGAAGTAAACTATAAGCCCTATACATATTATTCTACATATTGTAACATGGGCATCCTGGAAGACATCTTTGTTCTGTCTATTCTATCAATATATAAGGTGAATTTGAGTTCATGGTTTCTGGACAAAGACTCTAACATCAGTGATTCTTAGAGCCTTACCACATACATTCCCAGGTAGTAAATTGTGGGGCTACTAGACAACAACCACAAGATAAGAAATGGCCATGGGGCCAGACTGTTTTAGAAGCAGATTGATTGACCATAATGAGTAACGTCTGTGTCTTAGTACAAATTACTTAATTCTCAAGGTATTTGGAAGAAAATTTAATTGCTGTTGTTCAGACTTTCTCAAAGCTGTCTATTTCTTAAGGAGACAGTAAGTCTGACAGATGCTGTCCCAAAACAGACTGCCTGTTAAATGTATGGTTTTGTTCAAGGCTTAGATCAGAGGTCATCTCAAGGAATAATATTGGAATTTTAATGAAAAGTCCAAAATTATTTCTAGTCCAATTTTGCCCCCCCTTTAGGTAATTACAGGGATAGTGTTAAGAAAAGTGACACCTTTCTGATGTCATAATTAGGTTAAAGATAAGCCATCTCCACACACATTTTTGGGTGAAATTTTTTTGGAGAAAGTTAAGAGTGAAAAACAGAAAGAGTGAAGAAGGAAAGAATATGCAGGAGGATGTACATAGATCCTGTAGGGAGTGATCTGAAGCTGATTGATGGGATGACCAGGGGAACTGAACCAAAGAGGACCTGAATATCTCTTGTTCCTACACAAAAAGCTGACATCTCTTAGACAAAAGCTTTTTTTACATTTTTGGTAAAGTATACATTTATATTTATCTGTAGGCAATTGACTAGCCATATATATCTAACTAGACCATTTGGTCCTTGTTAGCATCTTAACTGAATTGAAGTAACATTTCTAACTG